GCATTCACTGGAGAACTGCATGGGAGTGCACATCCAGAACAAATGTATTTGACTGGTTAAGAAACGCGGGCTTTCTTTGTGTGATCTCTTTCTTAGCCAAGTATGTCATTTCATGCTGCTAAGAAACGAGAGAGATGCTTCTTTGTGTTGTTTGTTTTAGGTGTTGTTATTGTATTTCATGCCTAATGTTATTTTTGTACTGTCAGAGTGAGGGCAATGACACTCCTTGTCGCCGCTCTTCTTCGAAATCAAGCTGTCATGTGGATTCCTAAGGAATAACTAAAGAAGTTGTTTTGGCTGAAGCGGTTACGTGAAATATAAATAAAATATTTGGTAAATTGGTATGCCGTTTTCTGCAGTGATGACGCACTGATTGAAGTTTCTGACCCTTGAGTAATGACAGATGTGTAGCATGCGTCATGCGTTAGTTTTCTTTCGGTAACGGTAATGTAGGATGGTAATGTGTTCCTGTAATTTTATTAGCATAAGAAGTACCGTATTTGGTTGCTTTTTCTTGGTAACGCACAATACCCTTTGGTTATGATGGAAATACGCCGAGAAATCTCCCAGCCTTGTCAACCGAGCAGTGGTATGTCGGTGGACATTTGTACGAATCGAATTGTGCACATCACGTCATGACGCGAAATCAGCCGTGGAAATGACAAAGGTTGCAGGTGAGGTGCAACAGATTGACTGTCTAAAACATGCTACTATTTTGAGCAAAAGTGTCGTGTGATACAGAAAGGTCAAATAGCAAAGCCTAGAGCAGTAGAACATTTTCTGTCTGCGCAATTAGTGCTGCTGTTGCTCTTGATGGCTGCTTTATCTTGGTTATTGGGTAACTATAGGCAGCTCTAAGTGCTACATTTAGAAAGCGATGATTGAATGCTAAATGAAAATTTAAGCAGTGAGCAGTGCAAGGTTGTTTGAAAAATCCTAAACGGAGGTATTTTCACCAAAGTTTCTGCTCGGTGATTGAAGTGACTATACACGTTCAAATGAGTACGAGGCCCTGTAGGTATTTTATGTGTCCTAACACTCGTGCAGTGCTGGCGTTGTTGACGGCAGCACTGCATGCATTCCACACAAGTTGGCGTCCATTCTCACTCATACACCTTCTTGAAAAAGGTTTTCAGAGGCGAGACCACACTATAATGCTAAACGGCGTAGGTACCACGTATTTTCTTAGACAGGCTCAATCAAAGCAAATTTACCGAAACAGGTGATCTTCAAATATATTGAGAGTGGCTTCTGCGGAGAGCAACGCGCACTCACTGGTAACCGAACCCATTCTTTGTACTGAGTAAATGCACTTTTGCACGAAAGACGAAGCCCTATTTACATCTCTTAAAGATAGAGAAGAAAAGGAGAAGAAGAGGAAGAGGAGAATATATTACCGTCTTGGCTTATATAGCCAGCCGTCTGACAGCCTTCAGGGAGCCGGTTTTCGCAGCTACCACCCTTTGGGTGGCTCGACCACCCAGTGGTGAGGATCTAAGTCCGACAGGGTGAAAGGGGAGACAAAAGTGCCGTTTACCTCCAGGGGGGCAGGCACGCATCTGGAACGACTTCCCATCGGCTTTTTACACTCACTGCTTGTCGCACACCCTGAACCTTTCTATGAATGGTGCCTTAGCTTCGTATTACATTCGACGGGTTTTAGGCACAATTGGTCAAGTGTGCACTTTCTTTGGAGTGTCACCCAGAAAGACAGCAGTCTTGAAAAAAAAACGACTAGGAGCGTACACAGTCCTTCAGCCAACTGCGCCGATATTGTGAAACAAAGTTGGTGGAATGTCACGATTCAGTCTCAATGTTAGGAGAAGCGCTTTCCATAAATGGTTTATTCACTTCAAGAGTTCGTGACACCTTCCGTGACAAAGCAACCGCGTGCACCGCTCATGGCCTCTATAAGCGAATCTCTTCGCCCAACTTTCTTTGATGCCTCGCTATTCGAGAGGCAATCATTGACCTCGCACAACTTTTTTCGTGTGCATCTGCAGAGTGCATACATTAACATGAGCGTCACCTTGGAACAGGTCGACTTGGTGCTGACTAAGCTGGAAGAAATAGGAACTAAGGCCGAGGCAAAATTGCCGAAAATACTTTCTCTATGTCAAGACAGAGTGGTGGAGTTCAGAGTGAAGTGCGAGATTCCACGTGTTATAGTAACACAGAGACAACAGGATAACTACGATTGTAGTTCTGCAGAAGAGTACGAAAGGCGAACCCTGTTTATTTCATAGATAAGTTACCTGAAAGCTCGCCTCAAGAGGCGCTTTACAAACCATCGCAAAACACTGTGAAGTTTACCATTCGTGTTGCGGAAGCACGCCTACAAAAGCGAATTTGAATCTGTGCAGCTGGCCTTCGATTTTTATCTGAGAGATAAGACAGCATCTTATAGGTACTACACTACAAGGTGAATGAAAAGCCTGGAAAATCCATTGGCACTGCCATGCAAGAGGATGAAATCCTCCGCTTGGCGATGGGCGCTTTCGCTGAATACGACAAAGCCCTCTTCCTGAATTTTTTAAACACTTTTCGAGATGCTGGAAATGTTCCCAGTGGATACAGCAGCTGCAGAATGCGGCTTCTCGACACTGAAGACAATGAAAAACGTAGTTCAGGAGCTGGACGGCTGAAGAGCGGCTTGATGGTGTAAACCTAATATCAATTCACCATATGCAAGTGATTGTCGACGAGGAAAGGAAGAACAATAGCAGAAAAAGAACGGCAGGGAGGTTAACCAGCCTATAGGCAGCCGGTTTGCTACCCCGCACATAGAGGAGGATGAGGGAGATGAAAGATGGAGAGCAGAGAGCGAAGAGAGATAAACACAGCTCATTCGGCTGCACACGCTCGACGAAGTTATCGCTGTGTTTTTGGAGAACCCGCAACGCAAGAGAATTGCAGCGTGCACCGCTCTGTTGGTCCAGGCTACATGTTCAATAGTTTTTTGTTTCTTTTTGCATCGACCTTTGCCTAATAGTGAACGGCAATGCCAATCTGTCTACCTGCTAAAATGAAAGTAAGCGTACTGCCTTTTTGGATGTCAGGGAAACATCGTGTTTTAGTTCTTTGTTTTCCGAAAGAAATTGTTTTCCAGAATGTCTGTGTTCTTTGTTTAGGCACTTCCTGCCATTAAATGGCTCTTGTTCTTCTCGCAGGCCTGTTCTTAAGATAGTGTGAGAAGTTCGGCAGAAAAAGCATCTGATTTTTTTTGGCACATATGCGTAAGTGCGCGACTGGTTCTCTTGCATACCGCCCCTTTTTTTGTCACTCGCTTCCGGTTACTTATTCAATATGAGCCCTTTTGGTCGCAATATTTAGGTACAAAAAATACTTTCTGGTTCACTAGCGCTAGCTTTACTGCAGTTCAAAAAATCCACTCTTCATTGTTGACCAACTCGCTTCTTGCGCAGCATTTCCCTTTGTTGTCATCTTCTTCCGTTAATTTTGCACCTTGCACATCCCCGGCAACTTTCTGTTTGCCATTAAAAGAACCCCCCCCCCCCCCCATCCCGAAAAACAATCCTAGCTACGTGTTTGCCTGACTGCACTCCCAGAGAAGGCAAACGCACAAGGAAGAAAGAGAAAGTTAGGTGGGCCGATGTGGTCTCTCGTACCGCGTAGCGTATCAGAAGTTCGGTTTCTTTGGGTCCCCGGGCATGCTGGCGCTGCAGTAAATAAAATTGCTGACACGCTCGCTTCGGCATCTTTGAATTTCCTAGTGCCTCTAGTAGCTCCACAGTTTTATTTTATTACTGCCGAACGATTGAATGCCTGTTAATCTTAAAAATAAACAAAACATCGTTCTTACAATCTGAAGAATTTTGGCACTTGCAATTCACATGGAACACCGCAAAATGCCTTTCTCGTCAATGTGAGGTGACCCTCACAAGATTTCACAGTAGAGTTCCTCGGTTAAATTTTTATCTCCACAAATCAGGATTTTCATTAACGAACTAATGTGCAGTTTGCAATGAACCCGAAACAATAGATCACTTTGTTCTCACATGCCGCTGCTTTGCCTCACTGCACCAAATGCTTTTTAATGACCCATTGGTATGCTCGAATGGGCAAATAATACATCCACCCTTATATCGTTTGAATCCAGTCAGTTGGGTGCGGGCCGCAGTGCTATTCTGTCAGCGGTACATAAATTCATACATGCAACCGGAAGAATATGCTGCTATTGGAACTGCCAGATATGTCCAATTCTTGCCGGGCCCCTTCGTCATTTTTGCTCATTTGTTTTATAAAGTCTGGTTTGTCAAATTCTTCTGCACTTTTTAACGTTTTTTTCAAATGAACTTTATTATTGTTATTATCTAATTTTTCTCTTTTTTTAAAGCAAGCGTTGTATAAGAGAATTTCATTATAAGGTACGGTGTGGCCAATCCCCCTTGTGGGTATGAGCCAAGATTTAGGCTGACAAGACAAGACAAGGTAAGGAAGTTCGCAGGTATAATGTGGAAGCAGATAGTACAAAACCGGTCGATTGCTGGATCATGGGAGAGGATTTCACCCCGCAGCGGGCGTGTTCGGGCTGATTTATGTTGACGATGTCGTCCCCAGGACATACTTCTCACAAATGTTCAAGGGAACCAAATGGACGGTGGAGCACGTTCCTAGTATACTGGTGGTCTAGTTCTCTGTTTTCGGCTATTTTTTAAGTTTAAGAAGCTCACTGACAAGTTGGTTGAGCTCGTAGCAGTGGAGAAGTAGTTCATCAAACACATTTGCGTTGTCTGCAATGCTGTTGCCTGCGTTGTCTTCAGTGAGGCTTCATGTCATAAGCTTCATCTCGCGCAATGAATCAGACTAACATATGTAACAGAGCGTTTTAGAACAAAAGTTCAGAGAAACGTATTGTCTTTTTGATTATAGCCATACTTAATCAAAATATAATTCAATAAAAACCTAGGTATTACATCTGGCCTCACTGGGATATAAATAAGGCCACGAGCTCTTCCCAAGCGTAGGGTCTTGATTGCTGCATGATTGCTGACGAACACGGCGAGCGGAGTCCGAGTGGAATGATGAGGTCCTTTGCACTGCACGTTATAGCACTCAGTATTTGCATTTTTGCTAACAACTTTGAGCATTCTTCTAGTACTTCCACGGAAGATGAGACCCCTACATTGGAAGATCTACAACAGGTAAACTTGTTCTCGATCGAAATCTACAATTTATTTTATTTTTTTCTGGTTCAGTGGCACCTCTATTCGGATAGAAGTCAGAGGAATTTTTCGCTTAGCGGACGTTGCGGACGTCTATACTTCTATTGGTTATTGTGCAGTTGCACGCTGAGAAAGTGCAAATTATTTGATGGTTTCACTGTCGGAGTTGTTTAGTTTTATTTTATTGTGATAGCAATTATGTGCACACTCTCGGCTGGATTTGTCGCTGGCGTCGGCGTCACTCGCTAAATATATATATATATATATATATATATATATATATATATATATATATATATATATATATACGTGTATTTATATATATATATATGTATATATATATATATTGACGCAAGGTGAACGCAGTATTCAAACTACGCGCGCTAGTTCGTGCGCTCCCCCAAGAGATCAGCGGCTTTATGATCAAACAAGAAAAGGCCGTGACGGCGCGCGCTTCCTCAGCACGGGATTTTGATGAAAAAGAAGTGGACCACCACTCGAGGGTTTTTCTCTCCCGGAGATTGATCCCTTTTTGCTGATCGCCTGTTACAGACGCCACTACTTTTCGGGCACAAGTTCGCCCCAATAAACAGTTATCCGTACACCATTTGGATTGTACGTAACAATTCTGGTGGAGGTGCTGGGTAATGATCCCAAACCCAGTTGGACTTCGAGGAAGCAGCCCGGAACCACGAGCAGTCCAACCAACTGAGCTCACGCCAGTTCATCAGCGCTCCAGCCGTTGTCTACGTGGTGAGCCGCCGGAATTTCCTCTGCCACTAGAGCCCAGAGTGTCTCCAGCTGCCTCCGGTGAGAGTACCGAAACGTCGTCTCCAACCGCTGTCGCACACGCCGTTTTGTCTCCAGTCGCTGCCACGCACGTCGTTGTCGATGAGCCACGTACGCCGGACCATTTTCATGGCGATCCTCATGAAGACGCCGAGGATTGGCTGGAGGGTTTTGAGCGCGTCGTCAACTGCAACGGATGGCCCGAAGAACGGAAGCTCCGCCGAGTTTATTTCGCATTGCAGGACAGCGCACGAACGTGGTTTGAAAACCTTGAAGGTACCATTCGATTGTGGGATGATTTCCGACGGGAGCTACTGGCCACATACCCGAGTACAGACCGCAAGAAAAGAGCTGAAGCTGCCTTGCAGGCAAGAAACCAGCGCAACAATGAAAGCGTCGCAATGTATGTGGAAGACATGTGCCGGTTATTCCGCCGGTCTATTCAAAATATGAGCGAGGACAAGAAACTTCGGCACCTGATGCGTGGGGTGAAGCAGGAGATTTTTGCCGGTTTGCTCCGTGTCCCCCGCGGAACGTCGCTGAATTTCGCACCGAGGCGACAGCGGTTGAAAAGACTCTGCAACAGCGAGCGAGGCACTACAATCGAGATGTTAACGTCGCATCCGTAGACGCGGTGTCAGCATTCTTCGAGAATGGCATCGACGTATTAAGAGAGCTCATTCGATCGGGGGTTCGAGAAGAGCTCCAGAAGCTAAACGGCAACCCCTCAATGGTCTCGTCTTTAGGGGAAGTTGTTCGGGAGGAGGTGAGACAGGCAGTCCGTGAGCAGCAGCCACAAGCCCAGCCTGTTCAAGCGTCAGTTCCGATGCAGCCCGCAGTCTCGTACGCCGAGGTACTGAGAAACACCCCTGTACCTCATTTCGTCGCCCCTGGACCTCCTTTCGCCGCCCCTGGACCTTATTTCGCCGCAGCAAGCACGCATCTCCCGAAACCTCGATTTACGCCGTCCCCAGCCGAGACTAGGATTCGAAAAGCTGATATATGGCGCACTCCTGATCGAATTCCGCTTTGTTATCACTGCGGCGAAGCTGGCCATCTTTACCGGATGTGTGCATATCGCCGAGCTGGACTTCGGGGTTTTCCCGTAAACGCTGCCTGTCCACGGAATGGGGAGCGACCTTTTGAAATCGAGGAGTACTTGTCAACGCGTCAAGGGGCTCACTCCTCGCAGCAGCATCAGTCTCGGTCGACAGCGCCACTGAGGTATCGGTCACTAAGTCCGCGCCCATCTTCAAACTCTCCGAGGCGACTTCCCCAAAGCCCGCTTCAGGAAAACTAGAATCGGCGACCTGGGGAGGTAAGGCCGCTGCCGACGCAAGAAAACAATTTCCAGTGCCGATTTCAAAATGTGATGACGGACACGAGACTACGTGCGGAAATGGTAACGTCGCTTTTGATTTGTCGGTAATTATAGACGGCTACGAAACGAATGCTTTAGTAGACACAGGCGCAGACTATTCCGTCATGAGCAGGGGACTTGCCAGAACGCTGAAAAAAGTGCTGACCCCTTGGATAGGACCACAAGTGCGAACCACCGGGGGACCCCTTATCGATCCGGCAGGCATGTGTACCTCTAGAGTTGGGATACGCGGCTTCACCTATGTCGCCAGCTTCATATTCCGGTCGGAGTGTTCAAGAGATGTAATTATCGGAATGGACTTTTTGCAGGCCAATGGCGCAGTAATAACCTTGCAGGAAACGTGCGTCTCGTTTTCGACGAAACACGCCATCGCGACTTTCGAGAGTGAAAAACTATTCGATGCGCTCCGGATTGCAGGTGATGATGTAACAGTACCTGCAAGATCCATCATCGTTGTCACCGTAAAAAGCAATGTGTACAACGACTATGAAGGAATGGCAGAAAGCAATACTGGGCTATTACTCGAGAAAGGGATCTGTGCAGCAAGAGGTATTGTACGACTGCGTGATGGGGGTACGAGTGTCTTCCTGACAAATTTCCGAAATGAGGTGCAGCACCTTGCGAAGGGAACTGTGGTTGGTCACTTGCATGATTACGTTCCGATTACGGATTTGAATTCTTCCGAGACTGCACCACTGCACCCTGACGGTATAGATTCCATACTCGCATCTATCCACATCGAAGCAGCCCTATCACCGAACCAGAAACAAAAAATCGAGAGCCTTATACGGGAGTACGCCTCATGTTTTTCCACGTCATCGAAAGTGCAAAGAACATCTATCATCAAACACCGCATCATAGTCGATCAATCTGTTAGACCTATTTGCCAGCACCCGTACCGAGTGTCACCAAAAGAGAGAGAAGTCATCAGAGGCCAAGTTGAAGAAATGCTCAGGGACGACGTAATTCAACCGTCGGCCAGCCCATGGGCCTCACCTGTAGTACTGGTAAAGAAAAAGGACCAGACCTTGCGCTTCTGCGTTGACTACCGAAAATTGAACGTCGTCACAAAGCGGGATGTCTATCCCCTTCCAAGGATCGATGACACCCTTGACAGACTACGAGACGCGAAATTCTTTTCCTCTCTAGACCTCAAGAGCGGATACTGGCAGATAGAGGTGGACGAACGAGATCGCAAGAAAACTGCTTTCGTGACCCCAGATGGGTTATACGAGTTCACGGTACTCCCTTGGCCTGTGTTCCGCACCCGCCACATTTCAGCGGATCATGGGTACTGTGCTGTCCGGGTTAAAATGGCAGTCCTGCCTTGTTTATCTCGATGACGTCGTGATCTTTTTGGCCACCTTCGATCAGCATGTGGAACGACTACGTACTGTGCTCGAAGCGATTAGTTCAGCAGGGCTGACGATAAAACCCCAAAAGTGCCATTTTGGTTGTCATGAACTGCTTTTCCTCGGTCATGTGGTTAGCTCTGAAGGCATTCGACCTGACCCCGAAAAGATAGCAGCTGTAGAAAAGTTTCTTAGACCGACAGATAAAAGGGCTGTGAGACGATTCTTAGGACTTTGTGCCTATTACAGAAGATTCGTTAAAGATTTTTCGAAGATTGCGGAGCCACTAACCCGACTGACGAAAGAAGACATGCCTTTCACCTGGACAAGCGAGCAAGAGGCGTTCAATGAGCTTCGACAGCGACTCCTACACCACCCTGTCCTGGCACATTTCCACGAAGAAGCCGAAACAGAGATTCACACGGACGCAAGCAATTTGGGACTAGGCGCCGTCCTTGTGCAGCTGCAAAACGGAGAGGAAAGAGTGGTCGCATATGCTAGTCGCACTCTTTCGAGAGCTGAAATAAATTATTCGGCGACGGAAAAAGAATGTCTGGCGGTAATATGGGCCATACAGAAATTCCGACCGTACTTATATGGTAGACCATTTCGAGCAGTGAGCGACCATCACTCGTTGTGCTGGCTCGCAGGCCTAAAGGACCCTTCTGGGCGACTTGCTAGATAGAGCCTCAGGTTGCAAGAATACGACATAACAGTCGTATACAAGTCGGGTCGCAAGCACAGCGATGCTGATTGCCTATCACGCGCACCAATGGAATCTGCACCTGGGGAAGATGGAGACGACTTTCCGTTTCTTGGGGCCGTGAGCACCGCAGACATGACTGAATATCAGCGATCTGACGCGGAGTTGCTTAAAGTGATCAAGCATCTGGAAGGGAAACCCGTGCGTGTTCCTCGAGTTTTCGTCCGGGGATTGTCCTCGTACCTCATGAGAAACAACGTTTTATAAAAAAGAAACTTCGAGCACAGCAAAGAGAAATTCCTACTCGTCGTTCCTTCGGCCTTGCGACCCGAAATCCTGGAAGCCTGCCACGATGACCCAGCAGCAGGACACCTCGGAGTGAGTAGAACATTGGCTCGCATCCGCACAAAATACTACTGGCCAAAGATACTGGATGCTGTACAGCATTATGTAAGGAGATGTAGAGATTGCCAGAGACGCAAAACGCCTCCATTGAAACCTGCAGGATTTCTCCAACCAATTGAACCACCTGAGTCTCTGTTCGAACAAGTAGGAATGGATCTACTTGGTCCATTTCCCACGTCATCAATGGGCAACCGATGGATAGTAGTGGCGACAGACTACTTAACCCGGTATGCCGAGACAGCCTCTCTCACCAGAGGCACGGCTATAGAAGTAGCTGAATTTTTCGTCACTAACATTGTACTACGGCATGGTGCCCCAAAGGTGGATATCACGGATCGAGGAACTGCAT